AACTCAGCTGTTGAAATCCAAGTCAAACTCTATTTGCAATCTGAACAACTTACTGTCAGGAAGCCTGACAATAAAATTTAAACGTAAAACACTGAATGAGATGAAGTTGTATGAATACTGGGCTAGATTCTCTCTGTTGCCCTGCATCTTCCCTAGTCACCTGTGCCATTGCAAAGTGAGTGTAAAACACTACCAGCTCAGAATGTTAATGATTTACTCCATTTCATGCACTTGGCACTAGTGTAAATTTTAATACACAACGCAAGGAACAGGGGAGGATCAGGTCACCTGCCTATGGAAAAGGAAGATACCTTCCCATTCCACAAGATGGATGTTCCTGATACATAATTCACTTGCCCAATCCAAACTGTGGTCCATGCACCCTTGGTGGTCCATGGAGACCTGTCTGGTGATGTGATACTGGTTCTCCTACTGGTTTACAGCTGCCAAATTGCATTAAAAGGCAGATAAACAGACATCAAATAATTTTCTATTTTTTTTCCATGTAAGCAATTGCTGTAGTTGAACAGGTGACTGTGATATGTGATCACAAATTGGAAGAGGCTCACCAGACATTTTATTAACATGAGGCCCACACTAATATACAAATTTTAGAACCCCTGAATTAGATTATGTTTTTAGAATGATTTAAATATGAAAAGTGCTAAGGGTTGTTAACTATTGCTTGACTAATATCCCCAATAAGGTCACATGAAAACTAATTTTTTTTTAATATCCCAGCAATTAGAAGCCAAAATAAAAGTTCACTCATTGACTTTCTTTTTCCTTATCCTGGTGAGGATATTATCTACCTACTCCCCTTCCCGCATTCCCCAGAAAGCTATTGGCTAACTATTTAGTGCTCTAAATTGATATACGTTCAAACTTTGTAAGTCGCTGGGAACTCAGCAGGCAAGCCAGCTAATGTAGCAACGCACTATATGGTGGCATGGGTTGCTTGTCAAATGGTTTGATCCTGCATTCCTTGCACAGCCCTAACTCCCACTGAAGCCTGGGATGAAGCACAGTTTGACATGGCCACCTTCAAACCAAACCAGTCAATATTATAAGAGGGGACAAAGAAAATGAGTGTTGGCCTTGGAAATGTTTAACTCTCTAACTTTGGTATTTTAGTGGGTGCAGTTAAAAAGGCTTTCCATTTTAATCAGAAAGGGCAACAATAAATAAAACTTTATCTACTGTACAGAGTATCAGTCACTGTAATAGATAGGCACCACATATGGTAGAATAAAAGTGGTATAAGAATATAAAATGAAGGATCTCCACTTGTATTTCTTGGGCTCAGTCATTTATACTACTATTACTATACTATACTATTTCTTCCTCTTCATCATTTCTTTTCTTTCTTTGTTTCTCTCATCCTCCTCTTCTCTAGTTCCTTCCTTCTACATATTTCCCTCATACTCAAATGTTATTCTCAGCCACTATAATGTGAGTAGGCTTGTTACATACCCCATGATCCAACACTGAAGAAACACTGACACCAGGTCTCAGTAGTTTCACCCCAGGCTTGGATAGTTTCTATCTCTCCAATGGTCTCAGAGTATCAAGAACAGAAAGGCTATCATTAAGGTAGCCCAGTTCAAGCCCATTAAAAGTTGTAGAGATCAGGATCAGGTTCCTGATTTGGACCCAGTAGTATATGGTGAATCGGGAAGGCAAACGCTGCATTTGGAAGACTCAAAAACATCTCCCTCAAGACAAAACTGAATGTGTACAAAGCAATTGTTATCACCATCACAACATATAGCAGTGAGACATGGCAACTTACCAAGAACGTTACACAAAAGCTGGATGCATTTCGTCACAAATGTCTGAGAAGAATATTGGGAATAACATATAGAGATAGGAAGACGAATGAAGAAGTCAGAAAAATTACTGGACCCTCTCAAAAATAATCTACAAAAGAAGACATCAGTGGCTGGGACATGTGCTGAGAATGGAAAAAGAACACTTACCAAATACCGCCCTTGAATGGAAGCCAGAAAATACAAGAAGAAAGACAGGAAGACCGCGCATAACGTGGAAACGAATAGTTCTGAACGACATCAAGCACCTCAACATAAAATGGGAAGATTTGGAGAGAAGGGCAGTTGACAGGCAAGCATGGCAAATGTGGGTAGCCCAATGTGCAGCAAAGCACGGGATGGACTAAGGTCTAAGGTAAGTATATGGTGAGCCAGTGGAAAATAGGGTATTGGTACAATGTGCTTCCTGCAGCTAGTCATCCTCAAGAGGCAGCCTGCACCAACTGGAGTCTGTTGTTGACCTTGACTGATAGCACTAGGTAAAGAAAGTTGTAACAGTCTAGGCGTGAAATGAAGAATGTATGAATCACAGTTGCTAGTCCTCATCGGAGGGACTAGGCAGAGTCTTCTAGCTAGTGTTAGCTGGAAGAAGGCATTTCTTGCAACTGGACCTACCTGAGTCTAGGAGACACATCTAGTAGTACTCAGATTCCAACATGGACAAATTCAAGCTAGTACATTTTGGGAGAAAGACACTTGGAAAGCAGTAATGGTGAAAACTACTTAGAGATGACAGTGGATAATAGATTAGTTTTACTTGCAATGTGATATGGCATCTAAAAAGGCTCTTGCAAATTTGACTGCATACACAGAGGTGTCACATCATGAAACAGGAAGGTATGACTTCATCACTTGAGATATTTGAAACTAGTTTAGACAAAAGCCTAGATAAATGGCACAAACATACTGCGCTTGCGATGGAATGGACTAGTCAACCTAATAGATCTTCTCCATCTCTCATTGCGATGATTCTATGAACTCAAAAGAGCTTTATTTTTCATTTTCTCACAGGTGAAAAAATCAAACCAATTCCCTTTCATTTTAATGAGCAGTTTACATGACTCATGAATTTTACTAGGTTTCCTAAGATTTGTCACAGTTAAAGGCTGACAAGTATTTGAGTGCTCATTAATTTTTGGATCCTAACAAGAAAGACCGTGCCCTTTGGAGGCATTATATCAGTTGTATTTACAAATCTCACACAGGAAAGCTGTAGTAAGGTGACAAAACATCTTGTTATCTATTATACAGAAACATACACATTTGCATATTACATTGTCATGTGAATAAACAGTGTAAGCCATTTAAAAGACAACACTTCCCACCTGGTTACTTCCTCTTAAAGTATAGGCGGATAAATTGTGATAATCTCACACCTCATTTTCTAATAACTTCTGGCAAATGCTGACTTTATTAATGGAAGTCACTGTTTCTCTTGACCCCTGAGAAGTCTCAAAAAGTATTCTAGGTAACAACTTCTGTCGTAAATCACATGCAGTGTCTAAACTATGTGCAGCAAAGCCTTGCATGCACAGCATTTGCCCCTCAAAATACCAACAGAACATTTGTTCTTCAAAGTAAGTTTGCAAATGCCACAGATATACAGGTATCATGGCTAAGCAGAGAAGTGAAAGAGTTAAATTAATAGCATCAGAGAGGATGCTCCTCCTATGTTCTTCTTGCCCCCCCCCGCATTTCCCTTATCCTCCTTACCATGGCTTGTCATTCCCCTTGTGACTTCCAATTCATGTTCAAATTGTGTTAAACACTCTGCCATTGGGAACTTAGCACCTTTGCAAATCCAGCTACTGATTTCGTGCATAAATATGGATTTAGGAACCAAACCTTGTCTTCTGTTTTGAAAATCTTGGCCTCACTGATCCGTCCTGCTGAAATTTTCCATTGAAAGTTACCTGGGATGTACAGCAGCAACTTTTCTCTATAGAATATCTGCTATTTAATCATTTTGCCTTAATAAATAAAATAAATAATAATAATAAATACTACTACTGCTAATAATAAAGATTACTATCACACATTTCAGAGGCGGGGAGGTACTGAGTCTAGTGGCAACAACAGGGGATGAAGAAACGTGTCCACCAGGATTCTATACCTTGCTCGGCCACTGAGTCAGTGTGTGACTTTGAACAAAATCCATTTGTGTCCCACTTCCCCCCCTCATCTGTAAATGGAAAAATCTCAGTGGTTGTTGTGAGGTTTAATTAATTAATGTTCATATAGTGATCAAAGGCAAAGTATTTCAGATGGGATGTAATCAAGGTTCTGCCCACCTACAATTACTACTACATCCCACGGTATTTTTCACAAGAGAAAGTGTGCTAGCTTTGGTGTCTTTGCCAAATTCCAACTCATCTGAATAAGTTTGCCTATCTGCATTCTCTCCCTGCATGGTCAATATTTTTCTTGCCCTAAACTGATCCGTAGTTATTGCTTGTGCACTCTAAAACAGCTGCTGCGTTCCACTCCAGTGGAGGTTACGCTTCAGCAGTGACTGAAGCAATCCCTACAGCATCTATTTCTCACCTAACTCACAGAGATGTTGTGAGGATTAATTTTATATTTGTCAAATGCTTTATTTGGAAGAAATATTTTAAAGCCTTGCAAAACATTGCTGGGAATGAAGCTGCAGCCTTTACACGTGGAAAATTGCCATCTATTTTAGTTGCCAGAAGACTGGTCTTATTATTATTTTATTATGGCTTTCCAAATTAAATCTAGAAACAATTTTTTTTAATCGTAAGGAGCACAAACCAGTCTGAATCCATTGATTTCTTATTTTCCACAATCTCTATTTTAAAAGTGAATCCTTCAGAACAAAGATTTTCTTGAAATTCTCTTTTGGGCTAAAAGCTTATAAGTGTTTGGAACAAATATTTATATCAAAGTTACAGATGCTTACAGGGGCTTTATGCTGAAAACATAGGTACCGCTTTATCCTATATTGTGGCAGGTGGCATCCATCACTGGTATGGTAAACATTATATCCACAGCAGTCCTAGAATTTAAAATGTCTAGTTTGCACTCAGACTCATTATGGATTTATTCTTGCAGAAGCAAAGATTTTTATTACCTGCTTGCATAATAATGCTATGATGGGTCTGTTCCAGTCTGAATCTCTGAAACAGACTCAAGTTTATGCAAATTACTCACCTGCCTCATAACTCCACTTAGGAACTTGAATGGACAATTTGATGTCATTGCCAGTACACTGTTTATCAGAATTATCTTCTTTATTAGTTCCTTTGGGTGCATCCACAAATGCTGGACAGTCAGAGGGAGATGTACCTTTCCAAGGGCATGCAGTACCCAAATATTCCTTTTCTGCTGTCTGTTTTGTATCTACATTATTTTCTTTTAAATTTGCATTTGAATTTGTTCTGAGTGGAGTCTTGTTTTCTTCTGGGAGCTTTGTTTTAAGTATCTCTGCTATTGACTCTTCATTAGCTATGCCATCTGCTCCATCTGGTGTTAATCTGGGTGAACTGCAATTTATATTGAAGGACAATATTGATCTATGAATTTTTTGGCTTTTAATTTGAAGTTGGTCAATACATACAGAAAGTGACTTGTCAAAGTAATAGATTGTATTTGGACAGTGCTGGGAAATTTTGAAATGAACAGATGAAGTGAATGAAACTGGTGCTTTTTTCCTGTGATTGCTGCCTGGAGGAAACTTTCTGTTTTCTTTGTTGTCAATGTTAAAAATCCAGTCTCCATGCCCTTCACATACTTGTGAATAAGATTCAGAAACCTTTAATCTGGTGGCATATCGGTTTATATAAGATTCTTGATTATGCAAAGGTTTGCAGTGCTGAGCTCGTCCTGCATTGTTTGAAGAAGCAGTAGTGTTCATTAGAACATCACCTCCCCAGCATTTCAAACACAGAGAATCAGTAACAGCTACCTGCACTGGGTTGTTAAAAGGTGGAACAACCCGTCTAGCAGTAACTGTTATGGATGCAAATCCTTTTTTATGAGAGTCTGTTCTAGATATGTTGTCATCGAAAGATGCCTGAATTCCTAATCTGCTGGGAAGTAACAAGAATGCTCTATTAATGTTGACTGAACTATCATTAGCCAGAGATTGCTTCGTATGATAAGCATTAGGCTGAGTGATCACAGACTGCATCGGCAAAGCAGACCCATTTTCTTTTGATTTAGTCTCATCAATCAACTGTGAAATGACTATGGATGAAATCATTTTTGTGTTTTGTGATGCCAGAGACGCCTGCAAATGAAAAAGATCCAAATTATTAAAATATTCTATTGTCAAACATATAACTATTTCTCCTTCAGAGTCTATAATAGGGTTTGTTCAAGGTTTCTTGTTAAATTTCTTTTTGTACCAGTTTGCTTTCTGTCATTTTGAAGACATGTTCCTAAAATCAATTCAGAATTGTCTAGAAGAGTTCAGCAAAAATCGGATCAATTTTATGCAAAAATTAAACATTCTAAAACCATTAGTTTGAATGATTAACTGATTCTCTCAGTTGGCGTATCTGGTCCTATGTTTGTCTAACAATATGTGTGTCAATGGTGATTGTCAATTTCAAATTATAACCTGCTCTTTCATGCTGATCTACTGAAATATTAAAAGTGCTTTAAGCACTTACTGCCTGTACAAAATGAACAACGTAGGTGTACTGTGATTTTCTGTGGAGTGTTTATGTGGGAGTTGGGTCAGTGCTGCTACACAAAAGCATCAAATATGACCGTGGGGAAAACTCCTCCATGTTTTCTCCAATAAAAGATATGCACAAATTCCTGTAAGTGCTTTGGATACCATTTAATTCACTAGCTTAATATTTGCAGAGTGCACAAAATAACAGTATAAGGAGGCATATGCCCAAGATTGATTGACAGCAGTCCAGACTCATTTTTCTAACCACAACAACCGCCATCTATCTTAACATAATGTACCTGATGTCCTTAGAGAAGTGTAAGCATGAAGTTTAACTCTACCTACAATTATTATCTAGATGACTGGTTACATAATGTTTATTTCATGCAGAGTATATGGCTCAAATTCTCTGCTGCTGTAAATTGTTACATCTCCACTGAGGTCAATGTTAGCTGCATCAATTTACACCAGCAGGGAATTTGGCCCTATGATCTGAGCGTCCTCGGTCCTCACTTAGTCAAAGTTCCCACTGAGTCACAAAGTAAATTCTACACGATTGGAACCATGGTGAATTGTCATCTGAATGACTCTTTTTTTTCTTATTTAAGTGGTTTATGGACCTATTTTATTGCTCATGAAGTTAGCCAGATTGATAGCCCTGGAAACTCAACTGAAGGTGATACTGCAGTCAGCCAGCATCCAAACTTCTCTACAACAGTTTCACCAGTATACCTCAACCTTGTTCTTGAGGGACAATCTTTTGGGGCAAGTAGGATTTCTTTATATCCCTTCTGTCCTTAATTTTTCTGCAGTGTGTGCCATCCAGGCAGCCAACTGAGGTGATGGGCTGTGTGACGTAAACACATGTCTACCAGGAACTACACTGAGATATAAATTCATGTCATTTATGGCACCAAACAACTGGTCAAAAACATTGATCCTTACCAGTATGGCTAAAGGCAATCCTGTGATCATTAAGTCAAAGGCTCCAATGCCCATTACCCAATTCCCTCAGCCAGCCATCACCTCAGAGTTACAAACACCAGAGTTTTACGAACTGACCGGTCAACCACACACCTCATTTGGAACCAGAAATATGCAATCAGGCAACAGCAGAGACCAAAAAAAAAGGCAAATACAGTACAGTACTGTGTTTAAGTTAAACTACTAAAAAAATGAAGGGCAATTTTAAGAAAAAAATATTTGACAAGATTTGACAGAAAACTATTTCTGTGCTTGTTTCATTTAAATTAAGAGGGTTAAAAGCAGCATTTTTCTTCTGCATAGTAAAGTTTCAAAGCTTTATTATGTCAATGTTCGGTTGTAAACTTTTGAAAGAACAACCATAACGTTTTGTTCAGAGTTATGAACATTTCAGAGTTATGAACAACCTCCATTCCTGAGGTGTTCATAACTCTGAAGCTCTACTGTAGTTGTATATTCAGAGATATACTGCTATTATTTGAATTGAACATGAGAGTATTCAGGATGTACATGTTCACATAGTTACATAAATATATATTCAGCTATACACACCAAAATGTTCAATTTAGATAACCACAGTTATGAATATCTGGAGTAAAGTACAGGACATCTTCATATATTAGAATGTACAGTCATTTAATACGCATTTTGTTTATATTACGAAAATAAAACACACATATTGTTTGACTTCATAGCCACAAAATGCTACTCTAATGTCCCTCAACTTACGAGAACCATCCCTGTGTATCTGTAATTGTACCAGGCATTAGATGACACATTATACACACAAGGTCACAAGGTTCTGGTAAATCGTAAGTAAGGACAGGGCTATGGCAGAATTTTATGGCCTTCTTAAAGTCTTTGCTGAGGCTACTTGCCCTCATCAGATTGGTCATAACAAGAAAGGGGAAGGGTGGCTTGCTCACCTGCTTATAAAGATCATCTGCCCCCATCCACCCACCATTGCCAAGCTGCAAGTAACAACAAGCGTAGTAAGCTTTGGTATCCAGTTAATTATGCAAAGCTTTGGAATTTGTTAGGTAGATGAGGAGAATATGAATATAAAGGGGATGCTGAAAGATGGAAGAATGTTTTATTTTTTTTAGAAGGGCTGTGTGATTTGCAAGAGTTTAGGTGGTATTCAGTACTCTATTCTTATACCACACCTGTCACAATGGTATTTGAGCACCCAAGACTTCAATAATAAAACAATCATATTATACATATATTGACTAATTTGGACAGCAACAGCTGTAAAATATAGCCTGAGAGGGAGAAAATATTCTCCTGAGGTTTAATATTTTGCCTGAAGGCTGACAGCAATCTATTCCATCCAAGGAACTATGTTCACTTCAGAAATGTGTTTATTTCTATTGTTTCTGGCCCTAGAGCCACGTTGTACTTGCTTTACTATCTCTGTTGAAATTTTCCCTGTGCCTTCTCAGACCCTTTTCAACCCCTTCTCTTGACATTATTATTTGTTTCTTCTGCAGTAGCACCAGCTCCAGAGCCTCAAACCAGACCATTGAAATCTCAGGTGATCACAGGACCTCCTGCTGTTAGTGTTCTGAGATGGGAGGCTCAGAGTGAGAAGTCTGAGGTCCATAGTGTCTCTCCTGTGGAGGAATCCATGCTGAAGACCATCACACTCTGTGCAAACTATTGCCCTGTTTGCTCTGGTATTGCCATAACAGGAAAATAGCACAGAATACTGTCTTTTAAATAATCCTCAGATTAAGGTTTGAGGAAGGTAAATTTTTGGGACCTAAACAGCAGACCAAATCCAGGGAAATGTTTCCTATCTTCTAAATTAACTGTTTGTGGCTCTGACAATCCAATATCCTCCCAGCCCCAGAGAATGTAATTTTTCCCTTCCCTAATTTTTTTTCCATGGCTTGAATAATATTTTCTTCATATTGTATTGTACTATATTTACCTCAACCTGCATTTTTAAGACCTTTGCATGGCTTTCAATCTTCTCAATCTCCCTTCGATTTTTACAGATCTATGAATATAAATGTTCGTTGAAATGCATTATTTTGTATGTCTCTCATGTGCTCCAGCAATTAACATGAAAATTACTTAATTTCTTTTGTTAAGTACAAAACAGATGGAAAGCCCATGTAATGGTCCAAATGCAAGTCAGAAACGCTTCTGATTAGTTTCAGCTCATGTAGCAGTATTTTGAATGAGTAAATTATAAAAATAAATAGCAAATAATGTCTCCTCCCAATGTTTTGAGAAGGTAATGAGTCTCTCTGAGCTGGCCCTACATTCTTTTGGGAGTTTGCAAGCTTCATAGTCTTAGTGCAAAAGGAAAGAGTATTCTGGCTGATTGCAAATCCATGACTTTATTTTCAGGGGATCAGAGGATGGGAGTATCCCACACATTGCTTAGATCACTGGTATCATTGGTTGAGTCTGCCTGGTATATTTCTCAAAAACTTACTTTTCTCCAAAATATGCATTTTATTTTTCTTCAACAAGAATATAGATAATAAGATGAATTAAATCTACTGCAAACAGAATCATGACCACTTAGCCATCACTTTATTTGGCTTTTCTGCTGCCTAAGTTGAGTGTGACTAACCAAAAACAACTGTAAACACACTATATGGAGACAGGGTGATCATTTTTTAAACCTGAATGAATTCTGCTGACTACTATGAAAGCTCAACTGTGGGGTTTTTTGTTTTTACCTTAGTGGAGTCTGATTCTCTCTCTGCAGCATTATCGTGCTGATGGCTTTTGAGTTCTTTTGGATCGTTAGCACCACACTGTTTTTCTCTGATTCCTAGGAGTGGGGGGAAAAAAGGAAGACATGTTACTGTCAACTACATGATAGTATAGCTAAAATGGGATATAAAACCGAGTACAAACAGAAGGCAAAAGGGTATTACTAACTGATTCTGAATGGTCTAGGATCCACTTATCTGAGAGACCGCATCTCCTTGTTTCCAGTGGTTGCACTTTAAACCACACTGTGAGGCTGCTCCCAGGATAGGTTCCAGGACAGTCTCACGCTGTACTGAGGCCTGATCAAAAGCCCCTTGAAGTCAATGGAAGGTCTCCCATTGACGCCCAGTGGGTTTTGGAGTATGGGCCTTCACAAATTGGCTGTCTTTTGCAGAGTCTGAGACTAGTGTCTGATACAAGACATTATGGACCTTGTTTTTATTTGAACTAAGGACATTATACACTACCCTGGCAGTGCAAAGGAGCCTTAAAAGTCATCATAAATCGCATTAGTAAATGTCAGTATATTTATCTGGTCTAACTTTTGTTTGATTTATTTTGTTTGGCTGTTGGTTTGAGGGTTTTTTTAGTTTTCTGGGCCGCATGGTGCCTGGGATTGCTGTAACTGGGCATTCTTTAACACCACACATTGTGAGTCATTTTACATAAACAACGTTTCTTTGCTTCTCGGTGCTTATTTGAAAATGCAAAGTAATAAAATAAGTATTTAAATGGCATAAAATTCCCTCACTCTTCTGCCCAACCAAATCTGCAGTAAAAATTCATGGGAACATAGGCTTTAGTTTTCGCAACACACTGCACAAGGCTGCAGTTTTTACTAAATTTAATTTCATTTTACATACATTGTTCTATTAGCAGAGGAATAGAAGTCAGATCCTCTTACTGTAGAAACTGCTTATTAAACCTCATCTGCAATAGCAGGTTTGAGTCCTTCCCACTGGTGCAGGGATCAGGGGAGGGAGAAGGGGGTGTACTGTGTGACTCCATCTGCTTCAGTGAGAACTGCTCTTCTGAGAGTTCCATTGTGGGAAGGCAGCTGCAAGTTGCAGCTGGGGCTCCCTAGGAGGCCTGCTAGCAGAGGCTGCCCAGAAGGATTCAATGATACAGAATATCTCTTGGAGTGCCCATAGTCCACTTTGAAAGCAGTGCTGACTGGCTGCAGATTTCTTCACACTGCTTCTTATGGGCACAGTTTCCACCACTGGGGCTCTGCTGACATCACTCTGTGGTGGATCTGCTGTGTACAGTACTAGTCACCATATCAAAAGAAGGCTGTTGTTGCCATAGAAAGTGCACAGGCATGGAACAACAAAGAAGATACCAAGGCTGAAGAATCCAGCAATGAGGAGGAGGGTGAAAGGAGTCAGGAAGGAGTGGATTTGAGGGGAGCCAACAGAAGTTCTTGCAAAGGTGAAAGACAAAGCTCACGGTGTCATGTTTTACACCAGTAAAAGCTCCAAGAAATCGGGTATAAATAAGTAGAGAACTCAGGAATGGTTATGACGTTTGGAATAAGATTCTTTCAGAATTACTTAGCAACACAGGACTCCTGGTGACAAATTAACCCTTCTCAGGTGCCACATAAATAGTAATAACTGCTTCATTCCACCACTAATGAATGCTCTGGAGCTGCCGCTTCCTTGGTTTAAAACACCTGGAGCTGCTGGCACAGAAGTGACTACAAGGGGTTCTCAGCTTTGAAACTCACTCCTCCCCGTTGTCTGAAGGAGGCCGAACAAATCTGCTGACCAGTAGAGGAAGCTGCAAAACCTACAGATGTCCACAATTGTTTGGGAAGGGGAAGTACAATGTGGGTTGGTGTTTGTAGGGAGAATGGGGTACTTGCAGTGATACATTAAATGTGGATATTTGGATGAAGAGAGAGTGTTGCATGTCATTTAATATTTGTCAAAGGTGCCTCTCCTCTGTGCTTTTTAAAAATATGAATTTTAATAAATAAATGTGGGATAAATGGCCAAGGTAGGTCATGAAAGCAAAATGTAAGAATTAGTTCAGGAGAAAAATCAGAGGTTTGCCAAATGCAATGGTAGTAATTGAAAAGTCATCATTAACCTACAGTTTTCAATTGTTTCCTATTGGAAGTAAAGTGGGAAAACTGCAGTTCTCTCAGATATCTCTGTGAGGCAACTGTGGGTAAATACTGACTTTTTAATGCTAATCACAGTGTATAAGGAAAGCTGGAAGGCTGGATAAAGATAAACCAAAACTGAGCAGGCATGCTGTACCAGATGGTTTTTCCCCCTGTATTTCTCTCAGATGACTTGTATTCAAAGTCCAAGAGAAAGAAGAAACACTACAAGGTCAAACAAGGATAAGATGTCAATGTCCACAGAGAAATATATAAGATGTAAATTATGGCTTTCAAGGTAACCTCTCCTAGCATATGTTTTCACTGCAAAAAACCATGTGTACTCAACTTAACTTAGCTAACTCAAGTTCAACCCTAGGCTCACCTGCAGGCTTTAACTTGAGCTGCTAACCCAAGTTGCCATGTCTTCGCTGATATTTTAACTTGAATCAGCTAACCCGAATTAAATACATCCTTTTTTTCCCCACAGTGAAAACATATCCATAGACAGTTATGGCTACTGTCCACAGATGCAACCTCCCCACAGATCTTCTTGGTGTAGGTTTGTTCAGCCATTTTGTGGTCGGAGAAAGTTAGAAGAGAAGGGGGAAGTGAATGTTTCTCCTGTCTGCTAAATCATTCAGTTTGGGGGTTTTTTGCATCGTGTCCTGGGTAATGACACTCGTATGCTACCATGGGAATCCCAGTGATGGCAGATACTCAGACTTTTGGCAAACAATTTAACAATTGCTGTAATGGATTAATAAAAGTAGTGAATAAACCTCCACCAACTTCCCTGCTATTATTCAAATATATATTCTTGGAAGCTTCACATTTGTTAATTCATGTGAACAGTAAAAACACCAATACTGACCTTATGAAAAGAGCTTGAAGCTCCTCATTTAAAATGAGGACACTGCATGAAATAACAGCAGCTTAGATTAGAAGTAAATGTCAGGCACAGAGCACCCATACAGGTTCTTGTTGCTGACAAAGTGCTTTGTACTATAACAATTATCATTCAACAAAATATAAAGTTCAATATTTCCCTGACACACAGCTATGGAAGTCATGGCATTTCAAGTATTTCCTATCAGTGTGGGGAGAAAAGAAAGCTTGTTCCTGCCTGATATGAAGTCCTGAGGATTTCTGTTTTATCCCGTTCCACTGTAACCTATTTTCACAAACCCCGTCTTTAAGGCTGAGAAAGACTTTCCTAGTCCCTCAGTACTGTCCAACAGTATCCTCAGGCTCATAGATGGATGCATGCTGAATGTACAGTCCAGTTCGTGAAAAAGGGGGAGGCAGCTGTTGGCATCCTGACCCTTGCGATCTATATTACACCTTTAACCCTTTTATTTTCTCACAGCACTGTTTGCTGGACGAAATGATACACTCCCTGGCATCTGGACACTAGGGCACAGCCTGTGGTGTTCGTAATTACAGAGTGGAGCTGGAACTGAATCTCTAACTCACAAATGCCTGGATGTCTACCTTGGACCAACTGGTAGCACACTCAGGTGATGTCTGAAATCGGCCCGTTAAAACACAGTGATTGCAAAGATAGGTATGCTGGTGAGAAACAGTTATGTTATGAACCTAAGGAGTACACAGCACAATTTTTACACACCAGGACTCTGTAGAAAGCTTGATAGAAACTCAACCAGACAGGCCACCTTTGGGACTATTACACCAGAACTTCTGGTCTTGACTGGCACTACACTTGTGTAAATGGGCATGCTGCAGAATGACATGGTATACCTTGCTCAGAGCAAGTGCAGTCAAAACAATGGGGCGAATGCCTGTCATTGGAAGAAACTGTGTGTGGGGGCACCAAAAGGCAGTTAGCACCCCAATTTTTAGTAGTGCAAGTTGCACATTTTCATTCAGTTGCCATCTCTGCTGACAACTTTCAAATATACTTCCCCACTACCCTCTGATCTCTTCCTCTCTATGTAAACTCCTATCCATGCTATCGGCACCTCTTTGTGTCACGATGCCGTGAAGCGTGGGTTCTTCCTTCTAGCTCCCCACTGTAGGTAGTTTGCCTTTATGTGCCATTCAGCCCTCCAGCTGAGAAGCGGTTCGTTAACAAAATGTTCAATGTAGTCCAAAGTCCCAGAGAATCAACCTATCTTCTGAGCTTAATCACCTCCTGGAATTAATCCACTGTATTTCCCTGCCTCTGTTACTGAGCACTGTCCTGTCCAGTCAAAGTATTCCTGAGGCCTCTAGCCTCCCACAGTCTTTGGCATTTCAGCTCTTCATAGAGTGAGCAAGTGAACCAATGTGTGAGCAAGCAAGCAACGCTGCTTGCTCCCTGTGGCTCCTTCCCTCTTTACTGAGTTCTCAGTCTATTTATACGTCCCAGGAGTCTGCTGAGTTTTCACCTGATGCTTTTCGTCCCACCCTGTCTGGCTGACAAGTAACTACCTAATTACCACCATGGTGAAGTGAATTTGACTAACTGGACCTTTAGCCCTTTCTTGTGCATTCAGCCCATCTCATATACTTTATGCCTTGACTTGGCCTGTGTTGCCCTCATCTTACCTTTCTTTAAGTCTCTCCTCAGAATAAACTTCTCAGAATCCTTCAACTGTAGTTCTCTCTTAAATAAGGGTTTAGTAGAGAAATGTGGGAACGCACACACATTGAAACTAACAAGAAAGCTGCTAAACATCTCCACTCAATCATCTGCTTTTTGTTGATCCTCAATCCTTATCCTATATCTCCAAATTGTCTGTTTAAATAGTAAGTATTCAAGGACATGGACTTTTTTTGGCTGTCTGTAAAACACTTAGCACTATATAAATAATTTCTAGCACTTATAAATAACATTAGAAAGAGAAAATTCACCTTCATTGATTTCACTGATCATATTTAACTAAAGATTTAGAAACCATACAAGGTCTTTTATCAGCTGATAAATGTTATGTACAAGTGGCACA